CAAAACAGGAGATTCTCCCCCAGTGGTAATCCATAATATTCTTTTAACCTTGTAAGCAAAATTCGATCACGCTGGGTAAGGGCTAATGGAATAAAAAAAGCATCATTGTTCTCTGTATGAGCTTCACTTCTCAGATCTAGGTGAGCACTGGGATCTCCTGTGGTCGTTCTCACTGCCTCACACACTAAGCACACACACACAAAAAAATCTCTAATGTGTCCCATGGCAGCCAAGAATCTGTCACTGGCTCCACATATATCCATTTTATGAACATTTTTCATTTAAAAGGTTAGAATAAAGGTAAAACTTTAAGTATATATGCCAGCTTTTCAAATTTGCTTGCAAGTATAAGGGAAGATAAAGTCAAACTACTTATCCTGTGTAAATGAAAAAAGCTAGGACATAAAATTACATGTGCAATTACTTAAAAACTATCTAAAAATGTATCTAAAAGTAAAAAAACACCCCTACAACAAAGCTCCATACACAGAGAAAAGATGGGATGGAAACAGAGCTACAGAATGAATTAGAGGGTTTTTCCCCTTGTGTATTCCACATTTTCTATTAATATGTACAACAGGAAATACAGAACAATTTTACAGAAATGTACGTATTAGCAACAGATAAATGAAAGAATTGGAGATGATCAAGATCACAGAAAATTCAAGATAATCCCTCTGTTAGAAATCCTTCATATGGCCTTTCACCAAACTCAGAAAACTAGGGCTATTCTAAATAGCAGAAACCCCAGAAATGAGGTTTTTTTTTGATTGTGGAAGCACTATGCACCTTTTATCAGAAGATCTACCTTGTTAAATGTTTTGCTTTTTAAAACAGAAAAGTTGAGTTTCAACCGCAGCTGCCCTGAGGATGACAAGGATAACAGATTTCCCACAGATCATTTACACAGTATAAGATAAGCTTAAGGGGTCCTGCTCTGGCTCTCCACATCCTGACTCTCCAAGTACTTCTCAGGTACACTCCATTGGCTACCACACGACCACCATCCATCCCTCCACTCCCCTGCAACCTAACCCAGGTTTCTGTCCAGACATGGCCTGGAAGCATTCTCAGTCCCAGGGTGGGCCTTCTGGGGGCTGAACCCAATGTGGTAAAGCTGAGTCCTTTGCAGGCACAGACACAAGGCCCAGCTCCTACCAATGAGACGCATTTAGGAGTAGGTTCATCTACTGGTGACAAGTACTTACTCTTCTCTCTCATGAAAGTACAGAGCCCTGGGAAGAGGGCTCTGCCTCCAGCTCCACCATTCCTGTTTTTCACTCTCCAAGAAGGCCAGGAAGTATTCCGGAATGGAGGAAGGGATGAAGACAGAGGGGCAAAAGCAGTGGTCTGTTGAGGAAGGGTCTCTGAAAGCAGGTACTTGGACTAGACACTTTCATTGATTTCCCTTTAGACAGTACTTACTCACCCAGCTATGATGAGTTGCAAGTGAGATTGGGAAATTGACTCTTTACTATGGGGCAGGGATGCTATGTACTAAGGTAAAATCTAATGACTTTGGAAAGAAAAGAATGAATTTGGGGCCACCATTAGAAGATCCTGCTGCAAAAACAAAAGAGGCAGCCTCCTCGGGAGAGCTGATGTGAGGACATCAGATCTTTGTTTCTAATGTCATTCCCCAATAAAAGGAAACAGGGCTCCTTGGAGAAATGGCTGACTCTAGGACTGGGGCGGGAAACAGTCAAGATGAATTGGTACCTCTGGTAAGGTCAGAAAATAGGGGCATGCTCTAAAAGTAAAAACAAAACAAAACAAAAACACTCAACATCCCAAAACAAACCAACACAAGAAAACACCCCACAATGATGGGTATATATCAAAGGGCGACAAAAGTCAATGCAAAGAGTTCCTAATGCCCAAACTTGGAGTAACTTGAACAAAATAAATAATGTGGCATTGGGTTACTGGTTCAGTTCAGTCACTCAGTCATATCTGACTCTTTGTGGCCCCATGGACTGCAGCATGCCAGGTTTCCCTGTCTATCACCAACTCCTGGAGTTGGCTCAAACTCATGTCCATTGAGTCGGTGATGCCATCCAACCATCTCATCCTCTGTTGTCCCCTTCTCCTCCCGCCTTCAATCTTTCCCAGCATCAGGGTCTCTTCCAATGAGTCTGGTTCTTTGCATCAGGTGGCCAAAGTACTGGAGTTTCAGCTTCAGCATCAGTCCTTCCAATGAATATTCAGGACTGATTTCCTTTAGGATTGACTGGTTGGACCTCCTTGCAGTCCAAGGGACTCTCAAGAGTCTTCTCCAACACCACAGTTCAAAAGTATCAATTCTTTGCCACTCAGCTTTCTTTACAGTCCAACTATCACATCCATACATGACTACTAGAAAAACCATAGCTTTGACTAGGTGGACCTTTGTTGGCAAAGTAATGTCTCTGCTTTTTAATATGCTGTCTAGGTTGATCATAGCTTTTCTTCCAAGGAGCAGGCATTTTTTAATTTCATGGCTGTACTCACCATCTGCAGTGATTTTGGAGCCCCCCAAAATAAAATCTCTGTTTCCATTGTTTCCCCATCTATTTGCCATGAAGTGATGGGACCGGATGCCGTGATCTTAGTTTTCTGAATGTTGAGTTTTAAGCCAACTTTTTCACTCTCCTCTTTCAACAAGAGGTTCTTTAAACCAGAGATAACATAAATACCCATGAGTCCATAGTGACATAAATAAACAATTCCATAAGTAAGTAACTGAGGGAGAAGGGACACATCTCCCATGCAGAAGAATTCCATGGAATTCATGTCAATACTTTGTACTCCAAGAAATGGAGCCTAAATCCCCAGCTCCAGGTGTGAGAAGGGTGATTTCTTTGCAGAGAGTACTGCATGGAAAGAAGGGGAGGAAATCTGACAAATAAAACCACAAACAGGCAATCAAGGTCAAGCTCAACAGCCGTAAGTCATGTGGTCAGGAATGTCCTTGATAAGTCTGTGGTGAGAATAACGTTACCTCAGTGATCTGCATCCCGCAAACCAACAACCCTCATCTAATCACCAGAAAAACATCAGAGACACCAGAGGGAAGGGATATTCCTCAAAACACCTGACTAGCACTCCTCGGAACTGTCAAGGTCATAAAAAACAAAGGAAGTCATGGCCAAGAGAAGCCTAAGGAGGCATGATAACTAAGTATAATGTGGTGTCCTGGATGGGATTCTGAAACAAGAAAAGGACATTAGGTAAAAACTAATGTCTTTAAATCTGAGTCAAGTACGGACTTCAGTTAATGATATTGTATCAACATTGGTTCCCTGATTGTGACAAATTATCATTTTAATGTAAGATATGAATTAAAGAGGAAACTGGGTGTGGGGTATATAGGAACTCAATGTACTATCTTCTCAACTTCTCTGTAAATCTAAGACTATTCTAAAATTAAAAGTTTATTAGAGAGTGAGAAGACAGAAGACTCTCTCCCTTTTTCTGAGTGGGAGGTCATAATGTCTGAAGATGAGGTAGTCATCTTTTGACTGCAGAGATGACAATTCACAGCCATTAGCCAATTGTGGGCCCAGTTACTGCATTTCTGTTATGTGAGAAAATAAACTTTACTGTTTAAGCTGTTTTGTTCCTTGCACCTGAAAAAAAATATTACAAGTTCATTAATTTGTAATCATATACCCCAAAATAAGCCAGGATGCCAGAGATTTAATGTCTAAGCAAGTATCTCACCAATGTAAAAAGAGACTGGAGAAAAAGAAAAAAAAGAGGCTTTAATTAATATATACGTGTGGTGGAAAATGGTTGATGAAGTCCCAGTTAGGGTAGGGAGAGAAAAAGTGAGCAGAGGTATGAGGAAAAATCCATCTCCATCTTAAGATTATTTAGTAAACAAGGTTTTATTGAGTGAGTACTATATGGTCAGGCCAGGAACCATGGAAAATAACATAAAAGTTTAAGACTTAAATCCTGCCCAAGTATATTGAGATCCTTTATTTTTCTGTGGTATACCAGGCTTAGATGTTAGAACCAAAAGCCATCTTAAAGACCGATTTTCTGCATACATAAGCTTAAAAGTACTCTACTTTTTAAATTAGGGGCAGCAAACTGCTTTTTCTATTTAGCTTTGTATTTTTGAGGTCCTCCAGCATTAGCCTTTCTTTGTGGTGGCTGCCTAATTCTCTGCAGAGCAAACGAACCATTATTTATCCGCTCAGTCCGAGTCATTTAGGTTTCCAGGCTTCACCATTATAAAAACTTGCCAATGAACATCTCTGTTCCTGCTCCTTTGACAACACCGCTAATGTGCCTGTAATAAAAATTTCACGGAGGGGACCTAGCTACTTTATTACGTAACACCCTTTCCCACAGTCCAGGGCCGCAAGTTGGGTAGCTGCTTACTTCATACTTTGATACGAGGTCTGGAAAAGGCGGTGGGATCCATAACCTACCAAGAAAGCACGTAGATGCTGAAGAGGGAAGAAATGGCGCAGGAAGTTGTAAGGGGTATTTGAGGAAACAAGAGATGGGACAGGACGATACTCTCTGGATCAAAGTAGTGTGAGCTAAAGACAATCAAAATGCAGGCCAGTCACATGACAGAGGCCTCCAACGCGATGAGTTTGTACTTAGTACTGCGAGGCGACGGGGAGTGAAGAAAAGATTCAGTGAAAGCGACTGGGTTTTAGACTCTGTCACAAGTCCTGGGGGTGGTGTGTCAATTCATCTTCCTGCGCCGAGATTTCCACATTTGTTAACAATTAAAAAGTAATACTTAGGTAAAGGAAAACGAAGGAAAATAAAATAAACATAAGTAACAAATAAACATTAAAAAAAAAAAGTAATACTTGCTGGGCCGACCTCGAATACATACAAGAAGTAAACACTGAACTGTAAAACTTAGAAGGCCGATCTCCAGGGTAGTGGTTCACGGTCAGGTGACAAGTCGACAAAAATTTCTTAAGTCTTTTACGAAAAAATGCTGAAACCAGATGCAAAAACGAAATATTTTCGTCTGCAAACGACCTGCTATGACTCGAAGTGGGTCGCAGCCTCTTCTTGCTCTGCTGCTCCAGCTCTGCCAGATGCCCACGCGGGAGACCATTTTCGAGGTTTGGTTTGGAGTCTCGGAGCCGAGGACTCCCGTAGACGGGAGGGAACTGAGGTGCATGTGTGTGCGGGAGCGCACAGCCCTGGAGCCGGCGGCCCCGAGCTATCGCCAAAGCGGCGCAATAGCCCCGGCAGGCCAGGAATCTCCGCACTACCGAGCCCGCGTGTGCAACCGGGCGTGCGTGGGCGCAGCCAGCCACTGCGCAGGCGCGGACACGCTCCCCACCTCGGCCTCCGCGCGGCGCTCTGGGCGAGCGCGCGCCCCCGGCGGGTTCCGCTCCCGACAGGCGGAGGGCTGCGCGCGCACGAGAGCCGGCCGTGACGTGCGCCGCGCTACGCCCGACGTCACGGGTCCGTGTGTAGTGGCGGCCGGGCTACCCTCAGCAGAGGCTCCCGACGAGGGTGGTGCGGTCGCTGGGTGCGGTGTTCGGGGGTCCTGCGGCCCGCAGCGGCGGCGGCGACGACGACTACTACCGGGAGGCCCGGTGCTCCCGGCCGCGGAGTCGTCTCTCCTGCCCCTTCTCCGGCCTCGGAGGCGCCCGGCCCGCGGCTTCCTCCTTTTCTGCCCAGCTTCCCGCGGGCCTCTGGGCCGCGCCGGCGAGAAGGAACGAGGGGCGCCGAGAGGCCCCGGCCGGCCGCCGCGGTCCACGAGTCCGCCGCTGCGCCCGGCGCGGGCTCCATGTGAAGGAGGGCCGGGCCTGGCCCCCCGGCCCGCGCCCGACTCCTCGTGCGCCCCTCCGGTCCCCGGGGGCCCGCAGCCTCCCTCGACCGGGGGGCGCAGTGACAGGCCGCGCGGGGGCGGAGGGGTGGGTCTGCGGCTCCATACGTCCCCGCGGAGCGGCGGGTAAGTGCGTGTGCGTGCGTGTGTGTGTGTGTGAGCGCGCGCGCGCGCGCCCGCACAAGTGTGTGGCTGTGGCGGTGGCGGTGGTGGAGCGGGGAGGGGGCCGGACGTGAGGAGGGGGCAGTTGCCGGCCTGGGCGCAGCTCCTGGGGCGGAGATTTCGCTAGGTTGTAGCCTCGCTTGGGGTGGGCGGACCTTGGGTCCCTGGCATCCTGTCCTGAAGTCCAGGTCCGAGCGAAGTAGACCGCTGGGCGGTGGAGCTGTCAAGACGCGTACTCCGTGGGGCCTTTGGAAGGAACATTGCGCCTGGTCCTTGGGAGAAGCAGAAATCTTACATACAGGAAGCGAGAAAGTGCTTGTCTTTGCCCCGCTGTATCGTCGTGCACTAGTGGTTAGGGTTGATGCCCTTTTCTCTTTATGGACCGTTCAGCGAGCACTTGTTACGCCCCCGGTACTTATCGTGCATTGTCTCACCTCAACTTCGAAGCCCAGTGAGGTGATAATGTCTCTCCATTTTACGGTTGAAAACATCGAGGCTCAGATTCAGGAACTTGCCCAAGGTCACGCAGCTTGGTAATCTGGGAAAGCCTTGGTTCTTATATGATGTCTTCTCCGTAGAAGTGTATTTCTGATCTTGCGAAAATAAATATGTGAGGAAAATGAGAAAACCTGAAAAGTTTCTTCTTGGGAGTAAAATCTAAATATTTACATAAGTAGATCGAGCTTATATGCCCTTATTGTGTTTTGCTGTAGTCTATTCAAATGATTTTCTTGGTTCTTTCCCAAAAAATTACTATTAAAAGGTGACTCCATGCACCTTTACCTTTTTCTTTTTTTGCGGTGGAACTGACCGAACAGAAAATATTCCCCCTCTTATCAAAAAGAAGAAATAGATTTAGTTAAACTCCATATTTCTTGAAAAGTTACGGTTTGTGCAGTTTATTTTTGATGCATACAGGGAACTCACAGTTGGGTTATTTGCTTGAGATTTCCTTATTGCAAAATTTATTTCTGGATTATGTGGCAATGACAACATACTTAGTAATTTGTGCATTAACTTGTGCAATATCTCTGAGTGAAGGGCCAGAATTTAATGTGTAGAGTGTTGTTAAAAGTTATCTTTTAATGATGTGATTGTTTTCTTTCCTATGTATGTAGCAAAGTAATGAGTATTTATAAACTAACTGAAATTCTCATTTTAGCATTGACCTATACTGTTTCTTTGATTATGATTAAAGCTAGAGAGCCTTTACATTTCTCTTTGCAGAAGAAAGTGTTGATAAAATTCTCGAGTAACTTAAGTTTCATGCATAGTTGTAAATGTTTAAGAAATCTATTGATGCCCCAAATTGTAGTATTTCATAATTTCTTTTAATGTATTATCAGGTTTAAGAAAATTTGTAGTTCAATGTCTGTGTAATGTCTGTAGAGAAAATGTTGCATTACAGAGTTAAGAAGTGGATGGTTCACAGATAGATTTGTTGTTTGTTTAAAATATAAACGTGTGTTGAGTCTTGTTGAATGTAATATCATTATAGAATGGTTATCTAGTCATGCTCTCCATGAATCTCTCTTGAAAGAAATAACTATTAAAGATTTATTGTAAATAATTTGATGATTACATTGTAGATTCAGTCTTTTAAGTGTTTTAATTGGAACTTTCATCCCATGTTTACCTTATTGCTACCAGAGGAGTAAACTATATTTAATAGATGTTGTATTAAAATGGCATTGTGTTTGGTTCTAGACAAGTCCCACAGCTTTAGTATCAGGTTGATTTTATTTTTTTCCTTGTAGAATTGGAGCTCTCTAAGCTCCCTCCTACCTGCCCCCCAACCCAGCCCCAGCTTTTCATTATGAAGCAGTGTTAAGTACACAGGAATTTGGTGATATCAAACACCCACGTGGTAATCCTGTAGACTGACTTGTTGGCATCTCGCCATAACGTGGACATGATTTTTGGCCATGGGTGCCCGTGTGCTCAGTTGCTCAGTCATGTCCCACTCTTTGTGACCCCATGGACTGTAGCCCGCCAGGCTCCTCTATCCAAGGGGTTTTCTAGGCAAGAATAGTGGAATCGGTTGCCATTTCCTCCTTCAGGGGATCTTCCCAACCCAGGGATTGAATCCCTATCTCCTGCATGTCTCCTGCATGTCTCCTGCATTGGCAGGCGGCTTCTTTACTATTGAGCCACTTAGGAAGCATTTTTGGCTATACCATTTGAAAACAAACTGTGGACACTATGACACTTTACCCCTAATATGCCAACTTGCATTCCCAAAGATAAGGACATTTTCTTACATAGCCAAGATATCATTATTGTTAACTTTCTAATGAATAGTTATTAATAAGAATAAATTCTTATTGTTAATTTCTTAATGTAATCTAGTATCCATCCATGTTTAAATCTCCCCACTTGTGCTGGAAAGATCTTTTATGGCTTTTTATACTTAATCCCACCAAACCAGGATCCCATCAAGGTTTATTCACTACATTTGGTTAAGTCTCTTTGATCTCTTCTAATCTAAAACAATATCACCTCTCCATTTTATTTATTTATTTTTTTATCTTTTGGGCATGCCACACAGTATGTGGGATCTTAGTTTCCCAACCAGGGATTGAACCTGTGGCCCCTGCCATGGAAGCACAGAGATTTAACCACTGGATGCCTTGGAAGTCCCATCATCTTTCCATTTTATAAAATGGATTTTTTTTTCATAAAAGAGATCAAGCCAGTTATCTTATAAAACAAGTCACATTCTGGATTTGTCTGATTTTTTTTTTTTTCCCCTCATGGTGTCATTTAGCATGTTCCTCTTTGCCTCGTACATTAGCTAACTGTAAGCTAGACTTAAAGAATCATTAGTTTCAGGTTAAATATTTTGGGCAAGAATAACTACTGAGTGTTGCTGTGTACTTTATATTACTTCCCATCAGGGATCATATATTGTTAAGTCCTATTATTTGTGATCCTGAGTTTGATCACTTGGTTATGGGGGTTGTTGTTCATTTGCTAAGTCATATCTTTGCGACCCCATGGACTGCAGCATGCCAGGCTTCCCTGTCCTTCACTATCTCCCCAAGTTTGCTCAAACTCATGTCCATTAAGTCAGTAATGGCATCCAACCATCTCATCCTCTGTCGTCCCCTTCTCCTGCTGCCCTCAGTCTTTCGCAGCATCGGGATCTTTCCCAGTGAGTCAGCTCTTCCCATTAGGTGGCTAAAGTATTGGAGTTTCAGCTTCAGCATCCGTCCTTCCAGTGAATATTCAGGGCTGATTTCCTTTAGGGTTTACTGGTTTGATCTTGCTGTCCACAGGACTGTCAAGAGTCCTCTGCAGCACCACAGTTTGAAAGCATCAGTTTTTAGGCACTGAGCCTTCTTTATGGTTCAACTCTCACATCCCTACATGATTACTGGAAAGACCATAGCTTTGACTAGATGGACCTTTATCAGCAAAGTGATGTCTCTGCTTTTTAATACGCTGTCTAGGTTTGTCATAGCTTTGCTTCCAAGGAGCAAGCATCTTTTAATTTTGTGGCTGTCGTCACCCTCTGCAGTGATTTTGGAACCCAAGAAAATAAAATCTGCCACTGTTTCCACTTTTTTCCCACTTGTTTGCCATGAAGTGATGGGACCGGATGCCATGATCTTAGTTTTTCGAATGTTCAGTTTTAAACCAGCTCTTTCATTCTCCTCTTTCAGTCAGTTCAGTCGTGTCCAACTCTTTGTGACCCTATGGACTGCATCATGCCAAGCTTCTCTGTCCATCACCAACTCCTGGAGCTTACTCAAACTCATATCCATCAAGCTGGTGATGCCATCCAACCATCTCATCCTCTGTCGTCCCCTTCTCCTCCTGCCTTCAGTCTTTCCCAGCATCAGGCTCTTTTCTAGCGAGTCAGTTCTTTGCATCAGGTGACCAAGGTATTGGAGTTTCAGCTTCAGCTCTCCTCTTTGCTACTGCTGCTAAGTCGCTTCAGCCGTGTCCGACTCTGTGCAGCCCCATAGACGGCAGCCCACTGGGCTCCCCTGTCCCTGGGATTCTCCAGGCAAGAATAGTGGAGGGGGTTGCCATTTCCTCCTCCAGTGCATGAAAGTGAAAAGTGAAAGTGAAGTCGCTCAGTTGTGTCCGACTCATAGCGACCCCATGGACTGCAGCCCACTTGACTCCTCTGTCCATGGGATTTTCCAGGCAAGAGTACTGGAGTGGGTGCCTTTGCCTTCTCTGGCTCTCCTCTTTAGGTGAGGTATATTTTCCCCACTGCAGTTGGCATGTGTTCTCCAGTAATCTTTCAGCTTTCAGTAGGTAGTAATATCTATTGCTGCATCTATTGGCAAGCTAACTTTTGGATTTCAATGTTAACAATCTTTTGTTGGTCTGTAGACAGCAACAGAATCACAGGAATTGTAAAAATATTCTATGCAGCTGTATTAATCAGGTTCTGATTTTGCAGCTGTATTAATCAGGTTCTGATTTTGGGGATTTTAAAATATATTTTTAATAATGAATTCAAGGTTATCACCAGTTATGAATAAAAAGAGACCTGACTTGAGAGAACAGGACAATTCAGTTCCTGTCTTTTCCTGTACTCTTTCTCAAGGAGTGTGTGTATGTGTGTTTTGGCTGTACCGTGAGGCTTGGTGGCTTGTGAGATCTTAGTCCTTACTGAACCTGAGTCCTTGGCAGTAAAATCGAGGAGACCCTATCACTGGACCATCAGGGAATTCCCTCAAATAATATGCTTCTTTTAATTAAGTCTTAGCCAATATTGTTGCTCAGGAATAGCTGAAATATAAAAGAGTTACTTTACTAGAAAATATTTTGAGAAAACTTTTCTGGTGTTATGCAAAGGAGAACTGGATTGAGAATCAGAAGTTCTAAATACTAGGCCTAATTCTACTGTTCTATGAAGTTCGTGGATTATAAACTTTTTAACTTCACTCTGTATTTTCACGTCATAGTGATTGTTAGTAAACATGTCTGGAGGATAGGAATAGACT